GCCTTCATATGGACCATGCCGGGGTGGCCCTCGTGAAGTGATTTCAGCACTTTTTCCCTGAGTTTGTGAGGGACCACCACCCGGCTTCCCCACAAAAGACATCCCTTAGACACAGACAGCTCATTTTGGCGCATTTTGTAAGGGGCAAATTCTGGCTCCACAGAGCCCACAGGCCACCCCCTCCAAACCCAGTTCAAAACTCTGGAGATCACAATGTCTTTAGCGGACGCAGCCGCAATGTCCTTGGAGGTGATCGGAGCCTGGGACAGTTCATCAATCGCTAACACCTCGTTAGCTGGAGCTGGGTCTGAGTCCAGGCCGGGCAGAGGGCAGCGACTCAAAGCGTCCGCGTGACCAATCGCCTTACCCGGCCGATGTTCTAGGTCGTAATCGTAGGCGGACAGGAACAGAGCCCACCTCAGCATCCGCGCTGACATGATGTTGGGAAGTTGCCGGTCCGGGGCAAAGATTCCCAACAGGGGCTTGTGGTCAGTTACAAGGAGAAACTTCCGACCATATAAAAAGTCATGAAACTTTTTAACTGCTGCAACAAGCGCCAGTCCCTCCTTGTCGATCTGGGCGTACCCCTTCTCCGCGCTTGACAATGAGCGGGAATAAAATGCTACGGGAGCTTCCTCGCCATTTGGCATCATATGGCTGAGCACTGCCCCCACCCCATAAGGAGATGCATCCGCAGCCAACACCAACATTTTATTATCATCGTAGTGAGTCAACACTGCATTGGACACCAGTAATGCCTTGACTCCTTTGAACGCCCGTTCCTGCTCTGACCCCCACCGCCATTTTGCCTCTTTGTGCAGGAGGGCATGTAGTGGGGCCGCTACCGACGCCTTGTGGGGGAGGAAGGCGTGGTAAAAATTGAGGAGTCCAAGGAATGCTTGGAGCTCCTTTTTGTTCCCTGGACATGGGGCATCCTTAATTGCCCTCACCTTGTCCTCTGTGGGGTGGACACCATGTTCGTCGATCCTGAACCCCAAAAATTCCACACTGGGAACACCCACTATACATTTGGACTGTTTTACCTTAAGTCCCGCTTGAGAGAACCGTTTCAGTACCTCTCGAACTCTGCTCATGAGTTCCTCATCGGACCTCCCAGCCACCAACACATCGTCAAAATAA